GGTTTTCAGAAATATTATAATACATTTGGGCAAATTTTTTTAGCCTATTTACAAGAACACAACAATAAATTTTACTTTTTGCAGGGAAATACCCCTATAGTTTCTACATTATTAACGTCACCTTTTTTATGTATTGTTACAATAAAAGAGTCGCACCAACTATCTGGATATTCACCCGAAAGAAATATTCTATTGAATAACCTTACTAAAACATGTGTAATAGTCTCAATTCCGTATATAAAAAATTCTGGCGTGATATTATCTGGTCCAGTGACTTGCCTTGCTTAAGATGTTTAATAGCTAATCTAACCTCATAATCTGATATTTCGGAATCAAAAATATGGTTTTCAACTTCACTATCAGTTTCTCCTGTCGAAATATCAATATATTCTATATTTCTATCATTTGCAATGTTTGGAGTAAGTAGACCTTCAAAATATTGTACCCATTCAATTGTACTTATATTATTTACTGCCTTACTATTACGATTTGTTAATCTTTTTAGCTTCGACCAAAACGATTTAGAGTCATTTACACTATTGGTTAAATCTTTCAACTCATTCGTATGACTCTGTTTGCTTTTACAATCGCACATATTCTTATATTGTTTTCTTGTCAGTATGTAAAGCTGGAAATTTTCTTCTATTTTATGACTTCTATATGTTCTTAACTGTTTGTATTTTATGCGTTTTAACTTTAAACAATCTTTATCATACCACCTTGGACTAAAGCATTTTTCTACATTCTTTACTGGTCGCACAAAATTATTGCCCACTTGTTTTAACATATTTGTAAATTTCATCACACATTCATCAATATTATTATTTATGTCATCTATATCGCATATACATTTATGTAGTGTTTCATTACTGAAATACTTTTCCATGTCTTGCTGGAACGACAATTTATTAGTGTAGTTCAAATTATATTTAATTTCAGTACATTGAGATTCTGTAGAGGTTTCAAACTTGTCACAAGGAACATCGATTTCTGTTAGTAAGGGAAAATGGGAAGACTCAGTTCTCTCCTCAACACGAAAATTTTGTGCAAGTTTCATAGCGCCTTTTGAAAATAACACATAATCTATAACACTGCGTCCTTGTGATGATATAAATGTATAATTGACAATATTCTTGTCATCACCGACTCTTCCGTTCATGATATAAAAAGCATGCGTGTTGCAGAAGTCGATCAATTGTCTACCTTGAGAATTTATAGATTTGTCACAAGAACATCGATTTTCGTCTATCAGGCATTCAAAAATATCACTATATTGTTCAAGTACGGGTATATCAATTTCAGTATCTATATTTTCATTTAAATCACCACAACGTGCATTCATATCACTATATATAACGGTTGTTTGGAAATATTGCAAGCAAACGTTTATATGTCAGGAAGTTTTATCACGAATTTAAAATACAGCAAACTTCCATTTTAGAGGAAAAAGATATATTTTACATATTGACAGCATCTGTGTAAATTATTTATTGTAAAGATGTTTGGCAGATTATATTATTCTATATAAACGGTTGTTGGTATACATAACCCGAGCCGTTCGACGATGTTTATATTGCAAATATCCGTTTGCATATGGCCATATAACGTGCCAAGAATCATTATAACAAATTTATAACAATCCAAACTTATTTAAGTAGCGACAAAACATCGACTGCAGCCTTGTGTATAGATTATGCATCACAATTTTACAATGAAATCCGACGCTTCGTACGATCAGTATTATATGTTATTTTGGTTTTGGAGTGATATATCTGGATATAATACCTGCCAAGATTTTAAACCGGCTCGGGTGGTGTTTTATCTCGGCAGTTGATATATCCACATACAACTCCAAAACCATAATAATTATATTACCCTTCCCCTGCCGAGTAAGACAATTTTAAAATAAACAATTTTGCTGTTTCAAAAGAAACATCGAAATAAGTTCCCTTTAGGGTACCCCATCACCGGCGGATCAATATCCAATCAAAAAGGGGGATATGGAAGGGAAATAATATAAGTTCTAATTACTAATGCTTATTGTTTACATCTGTTTTAGATAAAGATATATATCGAGTGTTGGAATTTTTGTTCAATACTTGTTCAATGGCCTAGTTAATACAACCACCCCTCTTTCGCAATATTCCTTCATAATAAATATTTTAATACAACAATCTGTTTGTTTGTGGTATACACTGTTTGAACGTTATATATGTGACAAATTATCTCATAAACTAGAGATATGTATATAGGGTAAAGTCAACATTAATATCAGTTATATCGGTGTAAGATTTCTGTATCAAAGGACACAGCAATTGTCCTAAAATGTCACGTTTACAAGTAATGTACAAAAGACAAAAAAAATACAGAAAAAAAATCAACATTATTATCGTTTAAGTCATGATTCGTTGGAATCATTATCATCAAAGTTTCGAAAAAAAGCAATTTGTGTTTTCACTTTGATCAGAAGTAACTTCCATATAGGTTTCAAGAAAAAAGTACACTAACTTACAGCAAAAAACATAACACACAAAAAAAAAACCACCACCAACAATAACAACAAACAAACAGAAACAAGAATAACAAGAATTTGTAACAGAGTTACCGACGTCCCCCGCCTCGGGGAAGTTTTATATGAAGCATAAAATTGTGCTATTTCAAAAGATTAAGGTATGGATCTCAGGGCTTTCAGTCCAAGATTATGATCAATGCATTACCTGCAAATGCAACAATAATTTTTTTTAAGAATTAAAATGAAACAAAGAATTTAACAATCTATCATGTTAAGCTTTGACCGCTTTGTGTGACCTTGACCTTGGAGGTAGGAATGCAGGTGTTGTTCATGACATATTGTCTTATTATTGTTACTATTTGTGCAAAGTATTTGAAAATCCCTTAAACTATGAAGAAGTTATAGATCCGACATAAGATATACACTATAACAGACTATGTTAATCTCTGACCTCTAAGTGTGACCTTGGAGGTAGGGACCCACGTTTTGCGCCTGACATATCAGCTTATCATTTTGACTATTTGTGCTAAGTATTTTCAAAAAAACTTGATCTATAAGGAAGTTATGGATGGACACAACATACACCATATAACAGACTCTGTTAACCTTTGACCACTAAGTGTGACCTTGACCTTGGAGGTAGGGATGCAGGCGTTGTACTTGACATATAATCTTATTTTTGTGACTATTTTTGCCAATTTATTTCAAAATCCCGAAGAATCTAGATCGGACACAAAATATACATTTAAACAGACTATGTTACTTTTTGACCTCTAAGTATGCCAAGCGATTTCAAAATCCCGAAGAAGTTCTCGATCGGACACAAAATATAATCTTAAACAGACTATGTTACTTTTTTACCTCTAAGTGTGACCATAAATTTGGAGGTAGGGATGCAGGTGTTGCGCATGACTTTTTGTCTTATTGTTGTGTCTATGTGTGGCAAGTATTTACAAAATCGTTTGATCTATGAAAAAGTTATGGCCCGGACACAAAATATACCCTGTAACAGACTATGTAAATCTTTGACCTCCAAGTGTGATCTTGAACTTGCCTTGGCGGTAGGTGACCGGTTTTTGCGCATGACACATTGTCTCTTTATTGTGAACAATTGTGGCAAGTATTTACAATACCTTCAAAGATTAGGAAGTTATGGACCGGACTCAACATTTACCCTCAAATAGACAATGTTGACCTTGAATGAGCCAGTGCGACCTTGACACGGAAGGTAGGTTTCCGGTTGTTGCGCATGACACATTGTCTTATTATAACATACATTTGCGCCAAGATATTTCAGATTCCATTGATAAATGGCAAAGTTATGGACCGGACACAAAATATAACCTGTAACAGACTATGTTAATCTTTGACCTCCAAGTGTGACCTTGACCTTGGAGGTAAGTGACCGGCTTTTTCGCATGACACATCGTCTTACTATTGTAAACAATTGTGGCAAGTATATACAAAATCCCTTCAAAGATAAGCAAGTTATGGACCAGACACGACATATACCCTCAAATAGGCAATGTTGACCTTGAATGAGCAAGTGCGACATTGACCCTTGAGGTAGGGGTCTGTCTGGTCGTTGCGCATGACACATCGTCTTATTATAACAAACATTTGTGCCAAGTAATTTCAGATTCCTTTCATTAAGGAAAAAGTTATGGACCGGACACGAAAGTATGACGGACGGACAGACGGATGTACCTGTTTTATATCCTCCTTTTTTCTTCGAAAAGGCGGGGACAATTATAACTTTAACTGTAATAAGGTGTGTATGCGAATGATGTACGTTTTCATATACACTGCCAATCGCATTCACCAATTCACCATCTTCACCTGTTGCGTTATGAAATATAATTGTTTGTTGCGTTATGAAATATAATTGTTTGTTGCGTTATGAAATATAATTGTTTGTTGCGTTATGAAATATAATTTTCATTATTACGTTCATGCATTGTCATGAGTATTAATACTTCATTTTCAATTATTTCAAAAATATTTGATTGCAAATTAAGTGACGATTGTGTTAAATATAAATGATAACCGACATTTTTACCTTTAATGTTTCAACTAATCATGTGTACATGTGTACAGTACACTTATAATTAAAATATCATAGAGATATGTGTCTGTTAATTAAGATTCCTTATGTTACCTAAGTACTATACTACAAGGGCCAGTAGATAGTATATTTTAAAAAAAGAAAGACAGCTCAATAGATTGAGTATTGAAACATATCAAATGTAATGTACATATGGTTCAGCTTCAAGTGAAAGTAAAAGTCGTTATTGTTTCCAGAACTATTGTGTACCAATGAATAACATACTATATATTCAAGCACAATAACAACATTAATATCATAAGGTTCAGATAAATTAAATAAATAAGGTATAATGTATCAAATAAAGTCAGGGGTCCACAATTTAGAACATGCACGCGTATCATGTATTCAACGGCTTGTCACATGATAGAAACTATAGATAAAATAAGTATAAAACTGCAACATCCGTCATATGAAATCAATCATTTTGTTTGACTTTGTGTAAAGAAAGAGGAAATCTTTGAATAGGAGTATTATCAAAAAGCGATAAATGTAAGTTGTTTTATCAGCATATATGATGCATAATATTTACATATTTATTAACAGACCTTCGATTATTGACCGATTTGATTTAGAAAATTTATAGTTAATTTTTGTTAAACATTTTAATATAAACTGAATATAAAAAAAACCTTTAAGTTTCGATACATATTGTTAATGTAATTACATGTGAAATAAAACTAATTATAAATCAATTCTACGCGTCACACTCTCACGCACACACCATCGCGCGTACACACACGCGCGCACAAACACGCACACAATCGCTTTATGCCACTGCATGGCAGATGCTGCGGATGCATAAAATTGACAAAAACTTAGTATTAGATATCATCTGTTTCTCAACTGGTGGTTAAGATATCATTAGGGTGATTATACTCCATTTTAGTCTGCAATTATCATAATATATTGTTGTTTTGGAGCTTCCGAGGGATCACCCCTTTCCGAGACTCTATTTTACATATTAATTATTTTTCATGCTGAGATACTATCTTAAAATAGCCAAGACGAATAGAAAAATACCCTGTCAAGTTGCATTTCGGGAATTGAATAATATTAATAAACTTTTCATATAATTAATGAAAAGTTAAATATCTAAAAGATATTAAATATATTCAGCCAATGAAAGTTGATCAAACAAAATAATCATGAACTTATCAATAATAATTCAAGGAATGTTATTATTTATCACTACATAAATTCATATACATATTGTTTTTGTTTTTGTGTTTTTTATGTATGTATCAAACAGATAGTTTTTTTATTTTGATAACAAAATATGTCGGAATCATATATTAACTATTCACATTACTTTGAATGAAGTGGTATTTACTTTCCAAACACATTTGTAAATCCCACATTTACTTGATGATATCGAACATACGAAAGTAGCCTATTGTTTCAATGCTATGTGTGAACAATTAAAAATAGTTATTGAACGTTTGTTGGGGAATTGATGCACAATGAACATTTATTCAATTTTTATGTACACATTTAATGAATAATTCGGCTCAAATTTAACATTAACATATAGTCAGTTAAAAACATTATTTGAAGGCACATTATACCCAAGAAATGCCTTTTTCTCAAAAGCTTTTTATATGTGATGACCTGTTATAGTTTTAAAAACAGTTACACATTAAAATTTTGTCAATTTCTTGAACCATCTTTTGCTTCTGATGTTTATTAGTAATTACAACTTTTAGCATTAGCATTTGTGTCTTAGCATTTTGAATGGAAATCGAAATACTATTTCGTTTACGTTTTTCTTCTTCCATGACAAATAATAACACATTCATCTACACCATTTAAGTTAAAAGAATAAAACATTCCCATTAACTATCATTCCAATGTAATACACTCATTTTTCCGTTTCAAGTGAATGAAACCACGCATAATGTGCCTTTTAATGATATATTAGGTTGTCCAATCAAGTCCGAGGGATATGTCACCCATGAGGCTTAGACACTCTCTTATTCTCTCTTTGTTAACTTAAAAAGCTTCCATCAATAAATGACAATAAATGAACAAAATTCAAATTGTTGCATAAGGCCATGTCTTTAAAAAAATTCTTGTAAGATACCCATAAAAATAAGAGATAATGAAATTAGAAAATAAGCATAAATAAAAACAAAATACAAATGACGTTGCGGATTGACAAAATAGAATTTGAACAATCATAAATAAGAGTGTTCTCGCAATATTCATAGCAACACACATAGAAACTAATGTAAAAATTCCATATTTGAAAGGATTAGAAAGATAAACGTAATCTTTATCAAACGAAAAATATTTTCTTGCAATGACATGTGTATAAATAGCATGAGTTGAGAAAATTCTTGAAATAAGTAATAATTGCAAATGCTTTCGGAGATGCACACTCGTGTATTGGGGGCCACTTAATATGTTAGACCATTTAAATTCGCAAACGATTAAAGTGTGCCAGTAATGTACGAAACCTGTATAATATCATCATATTTTTTAACTATTTTATCAAACAAATTTTAAAATAAAGACGCTTGTAAATTGTGTTCATGTTTTAACACACGCAGTTTGAAGAATGAAAAAAAAGACATTTTATCTTTCACAAAAAAAGGCTATACATGTATTACCTCAAGATTCAAGAACTGGTCAGAGAAAAAGTAGACATTGAAGGCATGATACAATAAATAAGAATGTTTTCAAACTGTGAACATGTAAATGATATTATGAAGTATAATGAGAATAATGTATGGTAAAACACTACATAAGACAACAATCGGGACTGGACAAAAGTGATATTGATTGTATTTTAATTTTTCAGTAACACCGTTAAAATGATGTAATAACATTTAATCTAACGAGAGCAGAAAATTATTGTGAAGAAATTTAATATTAAAGATTAAATGTTCTATGGTCAATATTATATGATAAATATAAGTTATCTGTCAAAAAAGAAATTTATTCTTTGCGAAATAAACATTTAACCAATCTAATATCTATTTCTCAGTTAAACGGACAATTGTCCCCTAAACGTGAACAATTTCCTCCTTTTTGCAGTGACGGATTATCGTCCCCTTGTAATTTTTAAAGGAAGGAAGATTTGCCATCCCGCCATTTTTTTGAGGGACGGACTTTGCCCCCTCCCCAACACCCACCTCCTCCCTGTATTAAACAACTTTTACGGGCGGGTATTTTGTTCGGTTTTAAAAATGTAAAAGTATCTGATTGTTTGTTACCTAGAAATGTCTCATCCTGTTTTATACTATCTCCAAAACATAACTGTTTTGATACCTAGTTACATCAAGTGTCACGTTTAACGCAGATGATACATGTAATAACAAACTTGTGATTTAAGTAGGTGCTCACTGGAGCATCGGTGATCTAAATAGTGGGGCCAAATAAAGAATTTAATAGAAATTTGGGACTGAAATGGATGGTCTTAGCGGGGTGGGTTACATTCTGGGTCATGAAACTATTGACTTAAAGAACAGAAAATTATGATCTTTTGGTCTAAATTGTAGGGCGGACTCAATCCCTGGGTAGTCTCAAGAAGGGATTTTACTGTATATTTTTTTCATAAGATATGTTATATAAAAGAAACCGATAACATCTGAAAATGAGCATGAAACGTATCACAATGCATCTTATAAAATCGCCACTCTGCATGAAAATATTTACTTTTATTAAGGACGACTTTTTATCATACAATAATAAGACTTTGATAAATGTTAGAATATGAACTTTTTAATGACGGCACACATCAGAGAGAAGATATCGATGTTCAAGTATTTGATAAAGACCACGTATAGTCTGATTTTATTTACCTGTCAATTATGAATACAGTATAGCACTCATTTAGATATTCGATCCCACTTCGGTTGTGTCCGTTTATTTTACGAGAATTAATATGGAGTATATAAACCCACTAACTTAATATAATATTTATGTTCCCGTTACATCCTCAAAAGCACAGTCGGTTAGGTGAGTACCTAATGTACCAGAGGTTCGAGGTTCAATCCCTTCTTTGACTTATTTTTTCCTTATTTTAAAGTAGTTTTTAATGCAAATGGTCAAGCGCTTCCAAAATTGTCTACATGGATATGAACTGAATTGTCACGTTTTGTATTGGAGCTGATGAGATAAGTTCAGATTTATACATGATTATAAACGATAAATGTGATAATTCATTTGCAGGAATCAAACGTGTAAACAAAAATGCTTCTGGCAATGATAATGGTGTTTTATAGGGATGTGGCCAAAGCACATTACAACTTTCAGAACTTAAGTGTGTTTGCTGGAATATTGAAGGATTGAACAATAAGATATTTGATAAAGATTTGATTGATTATCTCAAATCTTTTTATCTTATAGGTTTTGTAGAAACATGGTTGTTAGAAAGTAACCAATTATTATCAAATGAATTGTATGAATATAATGAATATTTTATACAAGGTGTAAAACATTCAAAATATGGTCGTCCAATGATAGGAATAAGTATTTTTATTAAGAAATCTTTGAATATGTTTATAAAACAAGTTGTAACAAATTGTGATGTTTGTACATTTATTGTAATTGACAAAAAATTGTTTATTGATAGCTTAAAAGATAAAGTTATTTGTATTGTTTATTTACCTCCGGAAGGTTCACACTACTATGATAGACAAGAACTTAAAGGTATTGACCTTCTTGAACATAAATTATTAGAAATACAAGAAAAATATAATGTAGATGTATTTGTTGTGGGAGATTTAAACAGTCGTATTGGGAGGGAAATTGATAATCTTGGTTGCATAGATAATGCTCCTGTTTATGATGAATATAGGGATATATTAGATGATGAATATATACAAAAGAGGGTTAGTAATGATACAGGTGTAAATAAATTTGGCTTTTTTAGATTTTTTAAATTTTTGTAAATGTTACAATTTTATTATTGCAAATGGAAGATTTTTTAATGATTGTAACCATGGGGCTTTTCCTTATATAGGGCAAAATGGTAATAGTGTTATTGATTATTTAGTTGTGAGCCATGACACTATAGATGATATTAGTGCATTTGAGATAGGTACAAGAGGTGAATCAAGTCATATGCCTATTGTATTTTCTATAGAAATAAAAAATCTATGTAGAAATGATACGGTGGTAAGACTGAGTAATGAACAAATTGTTAGATATAGATTTTCAGAACAACGTAAAATACAATTTTTGGAAAATATCGAGTTATTACTCAATGACAATGTTGTTGAAAATTTAATTAGAGAATGTAGATGTACTTATGTAGCAAAAATCAAATAAACTCTGAAATTGTTGAGATTCTTCTAAAATGTGGTGAATGTTGCAAACAAGTAAATAAATTATCCAGTAATTATCAACCAGAGTGGTTTGATCAAAGCTGTAAAACCGCAAAATTTGAGAAAAATAAGCGCTTACGTGAGTATAGAAGAAATCCAAATGACAGTAATTTAAGTGAATATAAACAGACTAGGAATTTTTTCAAAAGTCAGTGTGAA